CCTTTTTCATCACTCAGAGCATCAAGAGATTCCTCAGAACTAGAGGGCAGTGGTCCATGACAAAAGGATATCCCCAAGACAGTAAGGAGGTCAGTATCTTTTAGCCATAGTTACAGTTATGTTTGTGGGAAGTGCTGGAGTCCTTGCAGGGATCTTTGTTCTTGTCTATAAACGGAAACATATAGTATTAATACTGGAGCACATTGAACTTAGTCCATGCTCAGTGTTGTTGCTTTGGATGTTCCTCAAATTATAAAGTTTGAGGCCTTGGCTTTGCAAAGCCAATATAACATAGCATATTGGTTGACAAGGTTAAGTGTCTGTTCATGTGCCAGGATCGATGATGATGTCCACATAAACATTCCTTGGAAAGCTGAACAAAATGAGTGAAAACTCACTACCGTCTCACTCATCGACCTGAGGTCCTGCACATTCTTTCAAAACAGAAGACTAGTGAGAGCCAACATTGATTTGTATATTTTCCCACTAATGAAAATGTAGTGAACTTTTGAAGTAATTCAGTCTCAAGGACAGTACAATTGTTTTCTTAATTAGGCAACCCAACTAGAAAATTCCTTTGATCATTGGGCATTGCCCCTGAGAGCAAATTTACCAAGATATGTGCATTTTCATAGGGTAAATGTTTGTGGGCTAGGCATAGGAACAGTACTACCTATCCTGGCTCTGTTTGTCTTGTTGATTCTGATGTCTGATAGGTGACATCATTTACTTACAGGACATGATAGAGGGAATGTTTTGGCATGCTGATCTCATGAAGTCACAGAATCAGTCATATTTATTTTGTTGGATAATGGTTTTGTAGTAGACTTTTTGTTCATTGGTGACAGGGTATAATGGGTCTGACTTTGTTGTTGTTGTTGGGTGCCATCGAATTGGTACCAACCCATAGCGACCTTATGCACAGCAGAACAAAACACTGCCCGATCCTGGGTCAACCTCATTACTGTTGCCACACTTGAGTCCATCAATGCTGCCACTTGGCCAATCCATCTCATTGGGGGTCTTCCTGTTTTTCTCTGACTCTCCACCTTACCAAACATGATATCCTTCTCCAGTGACTGGTCCCTCCTGACAATATGATAACAAAGCATCAATTCTTCTATGGTCTGCCTTCATACTTATTTTGGGATTTGCTTTGGTAGCAGAATATTTTTGTCAGTAGTGTTAGGATAGAATGAGTCTGACACAGGGATGGTAGGTATGACATATTTAGTTCAAGTAATTAGAGTATATCTTCCTATGTGTTCTAGAAATTGTCTCATGGTTTGTCACTGAGAATATAGCTTGTGACATGATTGTGTGTCCTTCTGTTTGTGGTAGCCTATTTATTTTCCCTTTTATCTTCTTTGATAGTTTTCATGAATTTCATTAGGCGATATAAAGATGATTACTGGTGTAGGAAATGGAACATCTGATGGCCATTGTTTGGACAATTTTCAAAGATACCCATTATTTTACTTGGATTTTCTATGGTGGTGGTGATTGTGTGCTGTGGAGTCGGTTCTGACACTTAGTGATCCTGTATAGGGTTTCCAAGGTTATAATCTTTACGGGAGCAGAAAGCCTCATCTTTCTCCTATGGAACGGCTGGTGGTTTTGAGCTGCTGACTTTGAGGTTAGCAGCCTGACTCCTAACCACTATGGTACAGAGCTCCTTGGATTCCTTATATCATAGAATAAACATGCAATATGTGATCAGGGACAAGAGTGACATATCCACCTGCCACAAAGGGATACCCCACCATTGTTGGTGACCCATCAGTGACCCCAGGAATATTTTTCTGCCTTGGAAATTGGTGGGTAAAGGAAGAGATCACCTGTTGAGGGGAGCCTGTGGTTAGTTCCCCATTGTGGTCCCAGCAGCTGTCAGAACTGAGCACAAGGAAGAGGAGCAACTCCAGGACGTGAAACCCTAAGAGCCACTCAGGTCCTGCTTGGGGTTAACTCAGTGAGTAAAACCCCACACATTCACGTTGGTCAGACCTGGGGTGTCCAGGAAGGGGCCCACCTTCAGGTTCTTTCAAGGAATCTGCTTTTCTTCCTTCTATTCTCCTCGGCACTGGAAGACATTCCTCCCACCCTTTACCAAGAGACACTCAGAAGACATCAGGCTGTGGTTTCTCAGGTGCTTTGTTTGGACGCTGCTCAGAGTGGGGATGGTAAATATACTGCCTGCATGGCTTCCCTCCTCCCTGTTCCCATGCCAGGTGTGCTTTGTCTATCGACGCTTCATCAAGGCTGGCTACAGCTGCCAGGCCATCTGGACCCCATGCTCTGAAAAGCTGTCTGGGAGAGCAGGGTAGGGTGAAGGTAATAGAAACCGCTTCTCTGGCTACAAGGTATCATCTTGGAGAAAGAGAAAGGGCAGGTGGTAGGTCTATTCTTGTCTGTCTCTCCACCTCCCACTCCTACTGCATTACCCATCGCTGTCTCTTTGTTCAAGAAGAGGAGAGGCATTAAGTGATGGAGAAAATGGTGTATTACTTAACCATTTCTGAATAAATGTTTGTTATTTCTAAAAAAAAATAAAGGGACCACACTGGGGAACTACCCACAGGCTCCCCGGCAACAGGTGAGATGTTCCTTTACCCACCAATTTCCAAGGCAGGAAAATATACAGGGACCCATTGGCTCACCTTTGCCAGCCATGACTTTGGTAGAGTCCTGAGCCATATGTATATTTACTACATTGATTTTGCACCATTCCTTGTATTGCATAATAAAAATTTCCATCGTGATCGTCAGTGCAACAGCAGGACTAAGGTATCATAAGTGTACCTGAAATGCACATATCCTGTCCTGGTTGATAGTGATGTTTGGTTTTGTCAGTTGTTGTTGTTGTTGTCAGGTGCCATCGAGTTGGAACCGACTCATAGCGACCCCATACACAGCAGAACGAAACAATGGCCGATGCTGGGCCAACCTCACTACCGCCGCCACACTTGACGCCATCAGTGATGCCACCTGGCTGATCCATCTCATTGGGGGGTCTTCCTCTCTTTCTCTGACCCTCCATCTTATCCAGCATGACATCCTTCTCTAGCGACTGTTCCCTCCTGACAATATGTCCAAAGTATGAGAGACGAAGTTTAGCCATCTTGGCCTTCAAGGAGCACTCTGGCTGCACCTCTTCCAAAACAGATCTATTGGTTCTTTTGACAGTCCATGGTACTTTTAGTATTCTCCTCCAACACCACAATTCAAAGGCATCAATTCTTCTACGATCTTCCTTATTCACTGTCCAGCTTTCGCATCCATATGAGGTTATTGAAAATACCAAAATACCATGGCTTGGGTCAGGCGCACCTTAGTCCTCAAGTTGACATCCTTGCTCTTCAACACTTTAAGAAGTTCCTGTGTTGTCAGTTGCATACTATGAAATGTCTTAAATATTTCTTTGTTCCTACTGTATCTCAGATCAGCAAGCTTTGCATCTAAAGCCACATGTTTTATCCTTTTCCATCATACCCTGAGTTTCAAGAGATTTCCTCGCAACTGTTGGAGGGATCCATGATGCAAGGATATCCCCAGAACTAAGGAGGTCAGTATCTTTTAGCCAGAATTGCACTTATGTTCATGGGGAATACTGTAGTCTTTGCAGGTATCTTTGTTGTTGTCTATAAACTGAAACATATAGTAGGAATGCTTGAGTGTATTGAACCTAGTCCATACTCAATGTTGTTGCTTTGGTTTCTCCTAAACTTTTGTGACATTGGCATTGCAGTCACACAACATAGCACATTGTTTCACAAGACTGAGTGTCTAGCCATGTGCCAGGATCGATGATGATGTCCACATAAACATTCCTTGGAAAAGCTGAACAAAATGAGTGAAAACTCACTACCGTCTCACTCATCGAACTGAGGTCCTGCACATTCCTTCAAAACAGACAACTAGTGAAGGCTAACCTTTGTTTTTGCATATTAACTCACTCATGAAAATGTATGAACTTTTGAAAGGCTTTTTCCTCAAGGACAGTGGGATTGTTTTCTTTGACTGATAACCTAAGTAGCAGTTTCCTTCTATCATTGGGTATTTCTGTTGAGTGCAAGTTTACCAAAATGTGTGTATTTTCATAGGGTAAGTGTTTGTGGAATAGGCATAGGAACAGCACTGCCTATCCTGGCCCTGTTTGTCTTGTTGATTCTGATGTCTGGTAGTTGACATCATTTACTTAACATGACAAGACAAAAGAACTCTTTTAGCATGTTGATCTCATTAAGTCATGGAATCAGTCATATTTATTTTGTTGAGTAAGAGTTTTGTAGCAGACTTTTTGTTCGGTGGTGACAGGGTGGAATGGGTCTGACTTTAGATGGTCAATATTACAAACTCACTTCAAACAATTAGACTGTATCATCTCAGATATTCTAGATGTTTGATCATATTTTAATCACAATAGTCACTTAAACTGAGAATATATAGCTTGTGTCAAGAATTTGTGTCCTTTTGTGTTTGAGGGTATTTTTTTCCCTTTGTGTGTTTTGGTATCTTTTTATGAAAATCAATGGGCAACACAAGGATTGTTTACTGGTGCAGGAAAGGGACTGTCTGATGGCCATTAATTGGGCAGTTTCCAAAGACACCTGTATTTACTTATAGTCTCTACTTCAGTGAATCAGCCTCTAATATGACTGTAGGGAAATTTGAAGGGCTCTTGAAAGATACCAGTTACTTACTTGGATTCTATATATATCAGCAAATAATGCCATCAGAGAAAATTGTAGGAACCCAATGGCACACATTTTTCTGCCATGACTGTTGTAGGGTCAGGAACCAAAAGGTACATTTTGTTGAGCAATGGACTTGATCCTCATGACTGTAGGTGGAACAGCGGGATCTAGGCATCATAAATGGTTCAACATGTCTAGCCATAAATGTACCTGAAATGCGTGCCTCTGAACCTCTTTGATGTTGTTAGTTTCTTCAGTTAGGTACTGTGAAGTGTCTCAACTATTTATTTGTTCTTTGTGTCTCAGGTTGATGTGCCTGGATCCAAAGCAACGTTCTTGGCCCTTTCCATCACACTCAGAGCTGCAAGAGATTCCTTGCACCTGGAATGTGAGTGTCAAGGACAGAAGGATATCCCCAGAAGACTAGGAAGTCAGTATCTTTCAGCCATAATTAAAGTTGTGCCCATGGGGAATGCTGTAGTCCTTGCAGGAATTTTTGTAGTTCTCTATGAACTGACACATATAGTAACAATACTTCAGTGTTTTAGACCTATTATATGCTCAAGGTTCTTGCTTTGGATGCTCCTCAGCTTATAAACTTTTGAGGTTTTGACTTTGCAGTCACATAGTATATTGGTTCACAGTGTTGTGTCCAGCAGTGTGCCAGGATCGATGATGATGTCCACATAAAACATTCCTTGGAAAAGCTGAACAAAATGAGTGAAAACCCACTACCGTCTCATTCATCGAACTGAGGTCCTGCACATTCCTTCAAATCAAAAGACTAGTGATGTATTCCCTTTATTTTTGTATATTTTCCCACGAATGAAAATATAGTGAGCTTTTGTAATGTGAAAAATAGTGGTTTTGACTGGTGTTCCTTGTAGACGTCTGGATAATATCCTATCACAGACAGGGTTGTACTTCAGGAGGAATCTTGATATGTTCTTTTTGATGTCAGATGCAATGACATTCCTTCTTAAGTTTTCATTCCTGGCTTAGTAAAACATGTGTTTGTCAGATTCAAAATGTCCAGTCCCAGTTCATGTTAGTTCACTAATGCCTAGAATGTCAATGTTTATACATTCCATTCATTTTTGACAGCTTCCAATTTTCTTAGATTCATACTTCATACATTCTATGTTCTGATTATTCATGGATGTTTACAGCTGTTTCTCATTATTTTGAGTTGTGCCTCATCAACAAATGAAGTTCTCAAAGGTTTACTCCTTTTATGTCATCATGGTCAGCTGTACTTTGAGGAGGCAGTACTTTCCCAGTCATATTTTGAGTGCCTTCCAACTTGAGTGGCTCATCTTCCAGCACTGTATCTGACAATATTCTGGTGCTCTTCATCATCATGTTTCAGTATTCAGCACTCTGATACTGACTGTGATCCACTGTTATTTATAAGGTTTTCAGTGAGTAAGTATTCAGAAGTAGTCCGTCTCTCCTTCTTCTTAGTCTGTCTTCTTCTGGAAGCTCAGCTGAAACCTGTCCATCATGGGTGTCCCTGCTGGTTTATAGAATACCGGTGCCATTCCTTCCAGCATCAGAGCAACACCTGAACCACCACAATATGACAAACTAACGAGAGGTGGGCATGACAACATAGTGTGTGTCATTTGGTTTACTAAATCTCATTAAGTCACACAATCAGTCATATTTATGTTTTGGGGGATTTGTTAGCAGAATTTTTTTTCCATTGTTCACATTATAGAGTCTGACAAAGAAATAGTAGGTATTACTGATGAAGTTAAAGGAATTTGGAAATATCTTATGTGTTCTTGAAATTTCCTCAGGCTTAGTAACTAAAACAGAGACTATAGTTTGTGACATGAATGTATGTTTTTGGTGAGCCTATTGATTTTCCCCTTTTTCTTCTTTGATGGTTTTCAATAAATTTCAATGGGAATCACAATCATTGGTGACGGCTGTAGGAAATGGAACACTGGATGACCATTGTTAGAGCAATTTCCAAAGCCACCCATTTTTTTAATTGGATTCTTGTATCAGTGAATAAGCATGCAGTATGTCATCAGGGAGTGTTGAAAGGATCCATTAAACACCCTGGCTGGTTAGCGTTAGGAACCATGTGTACATTTCCTACATAGATTTAGTGCCTTTCCTGTTGCTCAGTTGAGCATTATAGTCTTTTATCTTGAATCTTGGAGCAACAGCAGGATTAAGGCATCATAAATGGACTTGAAATGAGTATAGCCCATCCTGATTGGTGTGTTTTTTGTTTTCGTTTTTAGTTTTGTATGTTATGTACTATAAAATGTCTCAAGTATTTTTTTGTTTGTTCTTTGTATCTCAGGTTGATGTGCCTTGGGTCTAAGCAACATGCTTGGCCTTTTCCATTACACCCAGAGCTGCAAGAGATTTCTCAGAATGGTAGGACAAGGATGAATGACATAAAATATCCCCAGAACTCTAAGGAGGTCAATATCTTCTAGCCACAATTATGGTTATGTTTTTGGCAAATACTGTAGTCCTTGAAGGGAACTTTATTGTTCTCTATGAACCAATACATATAGTAGCAACAGTTGAGTATATTGGACCCATTTAATGCTCAATGTGGTTACATTGGATGCTTCTCAAGTTATAAACTTTAAAGAGTATGGCTGTTCAGTCATGCAGCATATTGGCTCACAGGCTAAGCATCTGTCCATGTGCCAGGATTGATGATGATGTCCACATAAACATTTCTTGGAAAGCTGAAAAAAATGAGTGAAAATTCACTACCGTCTCACTCATTGAACTGAGGTCCAGCACATTCCTTCAAAACAGAAGTGTAGTGAAGGCTAACTTTTAGTTATAGAATCAGTCATATTTATTTTGTTGAGTCTTGGTTTCATCATGGACTTTTTGTTCAATGATGATTGGAAAAATGAGTCTGACTTTACATCAGAGTTATTGTATACTCACCTGAAGGAATTTGACTATATTTTCTCAGATATTCTAGAAAGTTCCTCATACTTTATCACCAAAGTCACTTAATCGGAGAAATATGTTTGTGCTATGATTGTAGGTCCTTTTGTGAATGAGGAGAGTATTTATTTTTTTACTTGCGGTCTCTTGATAGTTTTTACAAAAGTCAATGGTCAACACAAGTATGGTTACTGGTGTAGGAAATGCAACATCTTATGACAATTGTTAGGGCAATTCCAAAGATATTATTTACTTAGATTCATTATGTCAGCAAATTAGCACATGCCATCAGAGAAAGTTAAAGGAATATTTGGCACACCATTGTCAGCCGTGACTATTTTAGAGTCAGAAACCATAGGTACATTTCCTACATAGATAAAGCGCCCTTAGTGTTAAGTTGAGCAATAATCTTTCCTCATGATTCTAGTAGCACCAGCAGGATTAAGGCATCATAAATATCCTTGAAATGTTTGCAACCCTACCTGGTTGGTGGTGTTTTTTTTGTTTTGTCCATTATATCCTGTGAAGTGTCCCAAGTTTGATCTTTGTCTTAGGTCAACATGCATTGTATCCAAAGCAACATGCTTGGGCCTTTTCTTCATACCCAGAGCTAGAAAAGATTCCTTGGAACTGGTGGGAAGATGTGTATGATAGAGGAATATTCTTGGATCACTAAAGAAGTCCATATCTTTTAGCCACAAGTGGGGATAAGGTCGTGGGAAATAGTGTAGTCTTTGAAGGGATCTTTGTTGTTCTCTATCAGTTGACACATATGGTAACAATGCTTGAGGATATTGGACCTATTCTATGCAAGGTTGTTGCTTTGGATGCTGTTCAAGTTAACAACTTTTAAGACTATTGTTTTCAGTCACACAGCATATTAGTTCATAAAGCTAAGAGTCTAGCAATATGTCAGGATCAATGATGATGTCGACATAAACATTCCTTGGAAAAGCTGAACAATTTGAGTGGAAACTCACTATGGTCTCACTCATTAAACTGAGGTCTTGCACTTCCTTCAAAATAGAAAACTAGTGAGGTCCCAACCTTTTATTTTCTATATATTCTCACTAATGAAAATGCAGTGAGTTTTTGAAAGCTTTTAATCTCAAAGACAGTGGAAATGTATTCTTAGGCAGTCATCTCAGACTAGCAGATTCTGTAGATTGTTGTTCAATGCCCTTCATTGCATGTTTTCCAAGACATCTGCATTTTCATAGGGTAGTTGTTGATGGCCATATCAGTGTAATAGTTCTATGTCTTTTGGCAGGTTTTTTGTGTCATGACCTTGAATTCTGCCAGTTGACATGGCAGCATTTATTTACACGACAAGATAGTGTAATATTTGTCATGCTGATCTTAAGTCACATGCATTTTTTTTGGTTGCTTTTAGCAAAATGTTTATTCATTGATGATGGTATACAATGAGTCTGATATAGGGATGTTAGGTATTACAGTTATTTTAAGAAATTTGAAGATATCTTCTCTTGTGTTCTAGAAATTCCTCGTGATTAATAATTTTATTCACTAAACCAGAGAGGATAAAGCTTGTGACACGAATATATTTTATTTTCTTCATGTTGAGCATAGTTATTTTTCCTTTTTGGTTCTTTGATGACTTTCTATGAATCTCAATGGATAATACAAGAATAGTTACTGGTGTAGGAAATGGAACATCTGTTTGTCGTTGTTGTTGTTAGGTGCCAATGAGTCAGTA